AACTGGGTCAAACTGAACCTCTAGTTTTACTTTTTTGAAGAATCTCCACACTAATTTCTGTGCTGGTTGTACCAGTCAAGAAAAACTGTTTGAAGATATAAGAAAGAGATTTTTTAGTGTACCTTAGCAGCCTGTGTGTTCAATCCCTAGTACCACAGAATAAAAAATAGAATCCAGTTGAACTTGAAACTTGAAAAATGCTTGTTTGATTGTAGGATCCTCTCTACAACTACTCACACTGTCTGCAGTAAGCAGTGTTTAAGAGCCATTAGATAGTACACATAAACTTATAGACCCCTCAGGAAAAGACAGCTATAGAGGGAAAAGCAGAGTCAAGGGGAAATGAAATGCACAGCTCAGCTTCCAACAGTAAGAGCAAAACTGTACAGGGGAGAGAGAGCTATCAACCAAGACCTAGACAGAGTATATAAGCCAAACCAGGTTAGGAACAAACCAGAAAACTGCAGGATGACTTAATGGTACTGAAGGGTTGCCTTTTGTACGACAGATATGTTATTTGATTCTTGCATTTTATGTTGGTTTACTTGCTAGTTTATTTTGTCAGTTTATGAATTGAGATCTCATGAATAGTGACTGTTTCATTGTGACAGGTAGTAATATCAACTAGGGCAGGACAATTTATGCCAAAGATTTAGGTAAGCAGTATATTAAAATACATTCCTGGCTGGGAAGGCTCAATGTTGTAAAGAAGCCAGTTCTTCCTAGGTTTTAATTCTGCAAAATTCCATTTCTATCTCCCAAGAGTGTATCTAAGAAAATATGTCAGTCATTAATCCTAATATCCTGAGACACACACGGGCAAGCAGCGGTCTGAAGATTCCTCCGTGTACAGTCAGCTCCAGGTGAAGAGAGCAGGAGGAGGACCAGGTGGCCCTGCAGGAGGGGAGCAAGCATGGGCAGCTCTCCAGGGAAAGGTGTTGGAGCCAGACTCTGGCCGTGAGCCTGCACACATGAACAGACCAAAGATCTAAATGTTTGGGAAAGAAAAGGAGGAGAAAGTAAAGTGAACCTAAGGAAAACATGGGAAGGCCATAAAAGAAAATATTGACATATTCAGTTACATCATCATCAGAAGTTTTACACAGCAAAACAAAATTTAAATAAAATTATGAAAGAAAACTTTGCCATTTGTATTAAAGCTAGATGATTTTGATTTTCCTAACATATCAAGAGTTCCTTGAAATGTATAAGAAAATGACCAGGTGTGTGTGTGCCTGTAATCCCAGCACTTGAGAGGCAGAGGCAGGAGGATAGCAGCAAGTTTGAGGCCAGCCTCGGCTACAGAGTGAATTAAAGTCTGAACTGCATGGGAAACCCTGTCTCAGGAAGACCAAAAATGAAATGTATAGGAAAGTGGCCATTTTCCCAGCAGAAAAGTAGATCAAAGATAACAGCCAAGAAGGAAAGACCCATAAATGGATGAAAAGCTGCTCAACCTCACAGCAGAAATGCAAAATAGAACCAAACACCATACTGACAAAAATTCAGAAAGGTAACATTGGCCTACATTTTATCAGTAGGAACCTGATGCTCATTGACCCACAGTAGACTGAAGTTTATTCAGTTAATGATTGCGTCAAGAATACACATGTTTTAACTTTTAAACTAATACTAAAATATTTCCACCACATATGTTTGATTTTGTGTGCTCTGTACATCATGGCATTTTGGGTACTATTTGATATTAAACTGAGATTTCTTCTTATATTTACCATTGATATAAAAGAAATCATAGCCAAACATTATAAAACTGAAAATAATATAAGCTCAGTGTTACCTGAGTATGTACTGTAGCTCTATAATCCTAATAGGAATTTTACAGAATTTTGTTGCTTCTAATGTTTTTTGCCAAGTGTGGTGGCACTACCTGTAATCCCAGCACTAATGAGGGAAACTAAGACAGGGTTCAAGGCCAGCCTGGGCTACATAATGAGACCTAATTTCCAAAACAACCCAAAAAAAAACAGAAAAAAAAAAAAATGAGGGGAAAAAAGGGATTTTTTACCTGAATTTCACAAGCCATGCTAATATTATTCATACTGCTGGGTGAGCACAAGTAACACTGTTGTCTAGTGTGATGGCACATGCCTGTGATCCTGGCACTCGGGCAGAGGCAAGAGGATCACAAGTGAAAGCTTAGCTTGGGCAACTGAGCAGTTGAGGATGCTGCCTCAAATTGGGGAGGTGGGGGAGTTACCTGGGATTGAACTCAGGAACCTGTGCTTGCCAGGCAGGCACTTATTCTACTGAGCTATCTCCCCGGCCCACTGACTCAAAATTTGAAACAAAAAAATTTTAAAGGACTGAGGATGTGGCTCAGTATAAAGGCTCTGGATCATCCCCTCAAATTGGAATGATCTGTTCTGTTTTTCTTTGTGTTTTGTTTTGTTTTTAATATAATTGGCAAAGGGTCTCACTACGCAGCTTGGACTAGTAGTGTTTTCAGCCTCCCCAGTACTGGGATTACAGGCATGTGTCACCATACCCAGATTGGTGGCCCGCTCAGCATGCCTAGGGGCAGGGCTGATGTGGTGTGTGATACCAGGATTGAACCTGATCTGTTCTGAATAAGGCAAAAACATGACTTTGCTTTCTCATCTGTCCAACATGGAGGGTGGTCTGTTTCCAGTTCCTGCTCCTATCCAGAGACAGAGGACAGCCAAAGGGCCTCGCTGCCTCCTGTGGAACCTTGGGGGGTGGGGGGAGTCTCCTCCTTCCGCACTCGGCTCCTGTCCTTGCCCTCTCTGTCTCTCCCCCCAGCTCCCCCAGTAATTGTCATGAACTAACCTCGCCTTCAACTTCTGCATCTATAGAACCCTGGCAGGTTGTTGAAGCTAATTTTTTTTCCTGTTATTTTATCTTCACGTCAAGACAAAAGACAAAGTTCTTTGAAGTTACTGGAGAACAAAAGGAAAAAGAGGACAAGAAAATGAAAACAAAGCTTTGTAAAGAAGGATTAAAGGGAGGAGAGGGAAAAGGAGAGAAAAGAAGCAGATCATGTACAGGTGCAAATTCCCTGTGATGGAAGTGATCACTTTGTGTATATAAAAGGTACCAGTAGGGGCTGGAGAGGTAGCTTGGAGGCTTAAGGGCTTGCTTGGCAAGCTCAAGGACCCAAGTTCAATGCCTGGTGTGGCATGCTGTGCTGGCGTGGTTCCAATGGTGCATGCCTGTAATCCCACCACTGGGGAATTTGACACAGGATCCACTGTGAGTCCCAGCTATGTAGCAAGACCCTATATCAAAAAAAAAAAAAAAAAAAAAAAA